GCATTTTCTCCTTTTCTTTCTGTCTCTCTCAGGGAAGCACATGTGCCCTCTGGTAAATTGAAAAAAAAAAAGAAAAAAGTCTCCTTCCTTACCCTCAGCTACTCAATTTTCCTATGAGAGGACCCATTTCTGCATTTCCTTTCAGAGTGATTTATGCCGGAACCGAATATTGTTTTTCCCTTTTAGCAAAAGTGGAAGTTTATCTAGCTCCCCGGCCTTCACTTTGCTCTTTTTTTTCTTTTTGTTTTGAGAGTTTTTTTTCGCTATAGTGCGTGTGTGCTCACCAGACAGACAGAGAGACAGAAAGCGGGTGGGGGGATGGTCGGGGGGAAGGTCATGCCGCAATCCCTTCTCCTCTGTTCTCTCAGGATCTTGGGCACGCACGCACAAGCGCCTGGCGTGAGTTTTAAGCCACTGGGTCCAGGACGCGAACCGTGGTCGACTACGTGGGAGTACAGTGACATAGCCATTACACTAACTACTGGTTCCCTTCACTTTGCTCTTCTGACTTATGATCTTGGAGAGGTCCTAACGCACAAAGAACTTCCTGTTTCCTGTTCCCCACAGCCGCATAGCGGCACAGCAAAGGAACACCCCAGCGGGTAATCAGTTCTTTACTGGTAGGTCTTTACATCCCAAGTGGGTGTTGCCTTCCTCGTCTTTCACCTCAATTGCAGACAGCACAGGTTACCTGTATCCAGGCAGACTCAGTTTATAGAAGCAGACCTGTCGGACCATGGAGTATGTGCATTTGTAGAGATTTTTCTCCATGGAGATTCTGTCAGTTCACATAATGACTACGAAGAGAGGAGATCACCCACTCCCACGTGGATTAATGCAGGGCGTTGGGGCGGGGGTGGCACAGGGGGCCCAAGTGGGGAAGGTCCCGGTTTATACCCCAGGACCTCCCAAGGACTGGCTGAGACTAGGGGTGGACTGTGGTATGAAGACCCTGTTAGGGATACCTTTCTCCATGTCTATCTCCCTGATAGAAGAAATGAACTTTTTTTTTTTTTTTTTTTTGGAGGTGTTCTTGCTATAGGGCATGTGCACTCACCGGAGGGACAGAGACAGAAAGCGAGAAATCACCCCCCAGGGAGGATGGCCACACTGCAATCCCTTCTCCTCCATTCTCCTCTCGGGATTCTGGGCACACACGCACACGCACCCAGTGTAAGTTTCAAGTCAACGAGTCCAGGACTGAATCGCAGTTGGCCATGTGGGAGTCCGGCACCTTAACCACTATGCTACCTGCTGGCCCTGTCTTCCCATCCTTTACCCATGTTTCTTTTTTTTTTTTAATTTTTAAAAATTATTCTTATTTAACTTTATTTATTTATATTTGACCAGAGAGGAACAGAATGAGAGAAAGAGAAAGTGAGAAAGCAAGCCGCCAGGTCCAGAACTCAAACCACAGTCGGCCATGTGGGAGTCCGGCCCCTTAACCACTATGCTACCTGCTGGCCCTGTCTTCCCATCCTTTACCCATGTTTCTTTTTTTTTTTAATTTTAAAGAATTATTTTATTTAACTTCATTAATTATTATTTTCCAGTTTCATCAGAGAGAAAGTGAGGAAGCAATCCACCAATTCCAGGACTTGAACTGTGGTAGGCCATGTGGGAGTCCAGCAGCTTTAACCACCACGCCACCTGCCAGCCCCCTTTATCCATGTTTCTACTGGACGTGGGATGTGGATGGGGCTGTTTTTTTTTTTTTTTTTAAGAATTTTTAAACTTTATTTATTTATTCATTCATTTATTTTAATTTGACCACACACACACACATAAACACACACACACACACAAAGTGAGGGAGAGAGAGAAAGTAAGAGAAAGAGAGAAAGCAAGCTACCAGATCCAAGACTCGGACCGTGGTCAGCCATGTGGGAGTGTCCAGTACCTTAACCACCATGCCACCTGCTGGTTGGTACGCTGGTGGGGCTGTTTCTTGCCGGCTATCTGCAGTGAGGCCTGGGCTGGATGCTTGAGGCCATGTGGGAGGCCTGCGGGCAGGTGGCTGCTGCAAAGGCAGGCTCTAGGGCAGCCATGATGGAGCTGGGTGACTCGTCCAGCCGGGCCTGTGACCTTGCCACCAGGGACTCCTGAGCCCTGCTGACCACCTCACTCTGCCTCTGCTTGCCAGCAGCACCTCGCAGAACTGTCGCACTTTCCCTCAGAGTACGCCCCAGCCGCTGCACCTGCCTTCCCGTGTGGGCCTCACGCCTACCTCTGCACACCTGCTGGGATAGCTTCAGCCCTTCTGGGACTGCTGCAGGCACTCCTGCCCCCAGGGACAGTCCCTCAGCCCCGGGACTGCTGCAGGCACTCCTGCTCTCGGGGCCAGTCAGCCCGGAGGCCTGGCGTGAGCACCAGGTTGAAAGCAACTCCACCCTGGTAGTCTGCATGCTCTTGGAGGCAGCCTTCTGGAGGAACCAGCTGTCCCAAAGGCCACAAGATCACGAGTAACATCGGCCTGTAGACGTGTATAAGCCACAATCCCGACTGCCAACACTGATGGGGCAAAGGAGGATGATATTCAGGTGCTTTCTGCAAAAGGCAGAACGAAGGGTGAGGGAGTCCCGGGGCAGGTTACACCGCATCGAGAACCATCTACGCCTGTGGTGGGTCATCACATGAACACAGTGAAGGAGCCACTGGGAGAGGCACCACCGCACGACTCACTTACATCAAGTACAGACGTGGCATGACGACCTCCGGAAGGGTGCCCTGGGTTTGGCAGCAACTCGAAGGGGACCCGAAGGAGCCTCCAGGATGCAAGGGAAGCTGTGGGGATTTGTCGGCTGTACTCCTTGGACTCGCGCCCCTCTGCTGTGCACTTTACAGAGGGGAACACAGAGGCCGAGCCTGCTGTTGGCCCCAGTAGAGAGCAAAGCTTAATTTCCTGTGTGGTAAGAAACCCGCAGCCCGGGGCTGGCAGGTGGCATGGATGGTGGTTAGGGTGCTGGACTCCCACATGGCTGACTGTGGTTTGAGTCCCGGACCTGGTGGCTTGCTTTCTCACTTTCTCTCCCTCTCTCTCTCATTCTATTCCTCTCTGGTCAAATTAAAATAAATAAGATTACTCTTTAATTTAAAAATAATTTTTTAAAAATTTAGCTTCATTTATTCAATTTACTTATTTAGTTGACCAGAGAGAGAGAAAGTGAGAAAGCAAGCCTCCAGGCCTGGGACTTGAACCGTGGTCAGCCATGTGGGAGTCTGGCACCCTTAACCATCATACCATCTTCCGGCCCCTCTTAAAAAAAAGTAGGCCACGCAGAGAACTTGGACATATTCTTCCTGCCCCACGAGGATCTAGTGCACCCCCACCAGGAACCCACGAACGTCGCTGACTGGGAACCTCACTCTGTCCATGACGGATGGACATGAGTGCCCAGCCCCAGAAAGCACCTGTAGGGCAGGGAGTGATCTGCCTGAGTCGCTCAGTGGAACACAGCCCGGATTTCAACCAGGGACTCTAGAAGAATAAACCTCAGCTTGTCTCTTCCCTGCTTAGAGCCACCCAACTGCTTCCACGGAGTCGGGTCAAGTTCAGACCGACAGGCTGTCTTACAAGGGGTCCCCCCAACACCCCTTCCCCATTTGTCCCAGAGCCAGAGATCCTCTTCCCTTGGGGACTGCCCCTTCACACCTTAGCGAGTCCCAGCTCCAAGGAGAAACAGGGCGAGGCAAGAGGCCCCAGTTCCGAAACCTGGAGCCTTTTGAGCTGGGCACACTCTAGCTTCGGATGCAGAGCGGGCGAAGGTCCTGGGTGGGATGTGCCCTTTTTAGGACCCACCTCAACACAACAGGGCAGGCTCCAGTGGCCTGTGGCAGCACCCTCACCCTCACAGGGGCCCCGGGGGCTCCCCTGGCCTCGTCTTGGGCACCTGCTGCTGCCGCCCTCGGCTTTCCACCGCCAGGGGGCGTGTTCCTCACTGCAGTTCCCACCCCTCTGCCCAGACCTGCTGCTCTCGGGCCACAGTGCCTCTTGGACAGGCATTCGGGCTCCCTTGTCCTCACGCACGCTGCAGCAGTGAGGACTGTGACCCCCACACAGGCAGCACCGTGGCTGTCGTGGCCACCTTGGAGTCTCAAGCACCTGGCACACAGCAGGTGCTCAACAAAGGCAGGTGGCTAAGGACACGGCCCAAGTCCGACGGAAACCTCGGCTCCTAAGGCCCTTCCCAGCTGTCTAATCCAGCCCCTTCCCCGGCGGAAGGCCTTCCACCTCCAGGTGGAGTCCACGCCTCAGTGGCACCCGACAGTCCTCCCACGTGTCCAGGAATGGTCACCTGGGACGGGCCTGTCAGGTCTGAAACGTGGTCAGTTTTCCCTCCTGACAGCAGGGGAAGGCCAGCCAGGGCAGCATGGGGACTCTCAGGGACCCAAGTCAGACAAACATGAAGGTCACACTCGCCCTTGTCCAGAGAGAGGTGCAGGTGCAGCATGTGTGGGGACGCTGTCAGTTCGCAGCGCGAATGGCGTGGGAAACGTGAATGCTTTTCCGCTACGTGGCACTCTCCGAAAAGCTGAAGTCTTTTGACCAGTCCAGGGACGAGGTAATAAGGTATTTATTATTAAAAACTTTTCCACCCAGAGGCAGTTAAAATTTATAATTTAAAACCCAACCCACTACAAAAAGGGGGGCGGGGGGTAAAAACTGTGCAACATTGACAAAGGTCCGAGACAGATGGGCCTGGGGATGGGGGCGGCCTGGGGTGGAGGCTCTCCTGCCCCCAGGCCACAGCAGCAGGGTAGATACGGCTCCCCCGCCCCCGCGGGCCTG